GTGAAAAAAGGCAGTTAGAAGGCTCTACTTGATAAGAAGCAATTGTCTATCTGATTCTGATGATATAAAATCATCATTATCTTGGACGCCGTAATGGGCGGATCTATCTACTTGATTAGCATTTGGCATCCGCATCAGTTCCCGTCGTATCCCACTCACACTAGTACCACGCGACTCCTTTCCTCCTGCCACCACTGCTTTCTTCATGTTGCTTACCTGAAAAGGTATTGAAATTCTTTAGGGATCCATAACCAAATGAATCTAAACCAAGGTTCGTGATGTTTAAATATCTAAAATTTTTTAGACATATGAAAAGCTGGTAACAAGAGTTCAGGTAGTGGAGCCAGGAATTTTTCTGGAGGCTGCCCTATAACTTCTCGGGGATAAAGTAGGTGACAAAAACTTGTAGCACATAATTTAACTGAAAAATAGAGTAATAGACAATTGTTAACATGTAAAATACAAAAAGAAAAGAAAAAAATATCAAAGTAAGAGTGAGTTTACACATATATAAAAAAACATAAAGAATTAAATAACTCTTAAGAATGTTAGGATAGGGCTCCATTGAGTCAAAATTCACATATTGTCTTTTGTACATTTGCTAATAGTAGTTATTTTTTTAGTCTTATTTGAGTAAATTACAATTTATTCATCCCACCTTGACAAGTAATGTGTTGTTGGGAACCAAAGGGTAAAATAATTTCGTAGGATGACCAATTAGTAAATAGCTTAACATTACAAGAAATGACTTAATTTATTATTTTATATTCTACATATGCTTCTTCATGTACAGCCAAAATTTTGAGCTTAGCACATAAAGTCAAACCCAAAAAAGGCCCAGGAGGTAATAATGAGCAATAAGGATACAAGCCAAAGGAAAATCAATAAGCTTGCAAAGGAAAATCAATAAGCTTGCAAGCTTCTTTTACAAAAGAAAAAATTAATTAGAAGAAGAAAGAGGAAATACTCCATGAAGACAACTATAAAAATTTTCATTATATTAAGAACCATCATCTCCATCTAGGATTTTTTTTATATGTATAGAAGAGAAGAAAACCGAAGTTACAAGAGCACCTTTATTATAAAAATATCATAGGCCGAACAATACCAGAGGGTGCTTCGCGCAAAAATTTTCACTATACAAAGAACTATCCCTTTACAACTAGGTTTTTTCCTATATATAGAGAAAAGGAGAAAACCCAATTTTATAAGAATGCCTCTTATAATAAAAACACCACCATAGAGCCAAAAATATTGTATCATATGCAATAGGGTTCGCAAAAAAGATACTGTTTTAGTTTTTCTTTTCCTTCTTTGAGGAGGTACATCTTTCTGTATCTCTAAAAATTCTTTACAAAATAATATAACTAATTTTAAATATTTATATATTCTATAACTTTTTATGGTTATATCATGACTACTAATGTTGATTTTTTATGGTTAATATCATACTTTTTTTTAATTAAGAAGTTAAAATAAAATAAAAAATATTATATTAGTCCTTGACACTCCATTCTACCTCTATTTTAACCACTAACTATATAATATAATTGCTAATGATGCAGAAGCTCCAAATTACTTAAATAGATTAGAAAGCATAGTCCTATTAAAATATAAAATTATTATACTATTTCAGAATCTATTGTTATAGCTTTCGTAATTTTAATATTTTATTCTTATTAGTATTTTATTTTCTTATTTGTATCAGAAGTACTATTTTCTAATCCTATTAGTATTATATTTATTAGTGTAATTCTACTTCAGAAAACATACCTAGGGAGCGTTATAAATTTCTTTGTAAAAACCTTCTGAGTTATTTAATAAAATATTTGAGTTTTTAAATTTTCTGATTGTGATATGCAACCAAACCTTCAAATATGATGCTTAAAACTTCTTAGATGTGTAGAAACCCTAGGTACAATACCTAGGTTTTACCCTCAAACACCTAAGCAGGCAAATTAACCTAATTTGCCCTATACCAGCTAGTATTAGAACCAAAAGTTCCTACACCACATACCAAAAATACTATACACAAACAACTCTAAACCCATTAGAATATTGAATAAAATAAAATAAAATCGTAAAACCTTAAAGACTCCAAGGGCTGCCGTTCACGACAGCCCCCAGAAACCCTCCTACAGAACTATGCCAGAAAAAGAAAACGCATCACTTGCCGCCATAATCCCCAACACCTGCTTCTCAGGATCCCATCCCTCTGCACAACTGCATCTCACACTGACCTCCAATTTACAACCCCCACATCCAGCCAAGTCAATTGATGGAAGCTCAGCACCACCTGGTGAGAGTGGATCCCATGCGCGCATCACTCACGAGAATATTGAATAAAATAAAATAAAATAAAATCGTAAAACCTTAAAGACTCCAAGGGCTGCCGTTCACGACAGTCCCCAGAAACCCTGCTACAGAACTATGCCAGAAAAAGAAAACGCATCACTTGCCGCCATAATCCCCAACACCTGCTTCTCAGGATCCCATCCCTCTGCACAACTGCATCTCACACTGACCTCCAATTTACAACCCCCACATCCAGCCAAGCCAATTGATGGAAGCTCAGCACCATCTGGTGAGACATGGATCCCATGCGCGCATCACTCACGAGTGGGCATTGCAAAATCATGATCTGTTTTGACTTTTTTAACCGGCTTTACCTCCTTTAAGGCTGGATTTTAGCATTTCATGATTTCCAAAAAATTTTGCTTACTTTTCTTATTTTTGCAATCATTTTCATAAAGTTAATATAATGGAAAATCTCAAACATGCAGAACCCTAACAAAAAGAATGAACCAACATTCAAAGAACGTAAAATTGACAACTCTTTCTTAGTTGTAGCTAAGCACAACCAAGCAATTAAAACTGAAGGAAGATTGCAATCATTCACCAATTCTCCAAAAATAAAAATAAGAAACTTAGAACCTTATTTTAGTCTCTAGGGTTGAACGACTCAAATTTTCAACACAGTTGCATTTATAACCATATAGACTAGTTTGAACGGATAATATGAGTACTTTGGTAACTCAGGAAAGTTTTGTTTCTATTCATCATAGTACCTATATTGGTTCCCTCTTGTATAATGTAATATCTATAATGTTCACACATATTCTTCTATATCAACTTTGATTTTATTTGACATGCTTAGCATAGTGAGACTACTAATACTTATCATTTTATACTTAGTTTTAAGGCAAATGACCCTCGAAGAGGTAAGTAAATATAAACATCCAAAAGCTCCTATGGTTAACGAAAAAGATAAAAAAAGAACAAGCTAGTTGAAGCTAAGATACAAGAACTGTCAAGTCTTCCAAAGAATATAAGTTTTGAGGTTATTCAAGACCTGTCACTACGTAAGGAGAGTTCTACAGAAGTTCCGTGCAAAGAGGAATCTAAGCTAATAATTGGATCTAGTGATGTTGAACTCAAGGATGAAGTTGAGTCACAAATGGTTCAATATGTTAATTTCATCCTACCGCCAGGATGTCACATTTTTGAACAACGATTTATTTCCTTTACGTTTGCTAGAGAAGAGAATGACCGAACAGACAGCCTGGTAAATTTTCATAGGGAAGCTCGAAAATTGATATTTTACATCATTCTCCACTTTAAAACTCATGACGAATTTTCTCCAACCAGAGAAGAGTGAGGTGGAATTGATTAGGTCTAGATCACCTAAATAGATTGGAAATTATGTTCTATTAAATATAATTAGGAGTTTATTATTATAGTTTTAGTCATTTAGAATTTTATTATCATTAGTATTCAGTTTTCTTATTTTATCAGTAGTCTTACTTGTTAATTCTATTAGTGTTAGTATTCTTAGTTCAATCCTACTTGGTAAAAGTTACTTAAGAAGCATTATAAATATTTCTATGGTTTCACTTTTTATAAGACACTTTAGTTATACAATAAAATATTTTGAGAGTTCTCCAACTTCCTAATTGTCTGATGCAATTAAATCCTTAAATGTGACTATTAAGAATTATTATGTGTTATATCTAAGAAATTTTAGATGTGATGTATAGGTTTTATCCCCGACACCCTAGGTAGGCAAATTAACACTTATTATCATACATTAGTTAATCTAATATGCGAACCAAATAATGTAATACATAATCATAATTACATTTATTCTATTCCCACTGAATCCCTTTTCCATCAAATTCTTATTCCATTTAGCCAAATACAAGGACCATTACAAGTATAAACCCGAAACTCTGACGAACTATACTCTAGAATCAAAGTAGAGAGCTGAAACTTTCCAACATCGTGATCAGCAATAGCAACGATCATTTGAAGGTCAAATAGAGGCAAATGAAAGGAGAGGAAAAAGGGGAGTGTTGAGCTATCTATTCTACAATCAAGGTTAGAGGGGAGAACTTTTGGCTATTATATGATTTAAATGATCTAATTAAGTAATAGGTTATTCAAAAGCTTAAACATGTAGGATAAGAGCTAATTACTATTTTACATTATATTCTTAACACCAAGAAATTAGAATAGAAAGTAGAAAGAAAATTATGCTTATAAATACATAAAAATTTAATGATGTCACGATTATTAGTTAATATGAACTAAAACAAGAAATGAGAGGGACAAGAGAAAGAAATCACTTCCCTGAACTGAACCTAACTTTTCAGAGAAAATGTTAAAGGAAAAGACAACATAGAAGCCATTTATTTTTCT